GGCAGGCGCTTATGCTGCTGAGCTAAATCCCCAGCCCCATTTCTAACCCTATTTTAAAAACAGCTTACAGTTGGGTCTTAAAAAACTTCATTAAAAAATAAGTCTTGGAATGGAGGTATAACTGAGTGGTAGGAAGCTTATCTACCACGCACAAGGTCCTGGGTTTAATCCCTCACACAGCCCCCTCCAAAGGTAATAAAATACTTCACAATGTTCATGCAAGAAAAATCCCCTTAGCAAAAAAATTTTTATTGTACCCAATACAAAGGACCAGAACTCATTTCCATCAAAGTGCACCTACACGGTGTACTACTCTCCAGCTCAGGCCATAAATCAAGGTGCCGCACACTAAATTTAATTAAGCTTCAAGGTAATCTGGTTTATCTCACTAAAAAACAAATCATGAAAATTGAATTACAGGCAATTTAGCATTCTCTCTCAATTGACCCTCCACAGCTACCACGACTACTGTAGGAAGATTGTCTCCTCCATTTTTGTCACAGCAGTTCATTTTAGGACAATGCAAAATAATCCTCAGGCAGCAGCTTCAACGGGTGCCAATTCATTAACTTTTTGTACATGATAAACCTATATGGAGAGCCTTTTAGAGCTTTCAATGGTCACAAACAGCCGGCATTCACTAGGATATACACACTAAAATGTTTACAGTAAAGTTTTCCTGCAGGTATGATTTCGAGTTATTTATCACTTCTTATTACCTGTCTTTTAAACTTTTTTTAAACAAGAAGCATGTATTACCTATATGATTTTTCTTCTAATTTTAAAAACAAAATGGGGAAGCCTGAGAACTTGGTAAGGGAGAATAAGGTAAAGAACTTTGAAAAGTCATATTTTGATTTTTCCAAAATAATATTAGTTAAGTTAAAAATCTGATTTTTGTATTTATAAAAAATATTTCTTTCACTTATTTACTGCCATGAATTCAAAAACTGCTTTGGTTTTCAAAATAGTCATGTTTTCAAATGCTTACAAAACACACTATTGTGTCAACTGATAAAATAGTACATACAGACTGAATACTTGATTCAAGTATTATATTAACATTAACTTTCCTTAGATTGAGAACCCTTACTAATATTATGTAAGAGAATGCCCTTAGTTCTTAGAAAATACACACTAAGCATTTCAGAAGGAAAAGGGATAGGGTATGCAACTTACTTTCAAACAGTTCAGCAAAAATACAATTAATACAATGAAAAAAATTTTTGAACGCTGAGTAGTGAAGTTAGGGCCACAAGGCAGGTGTTCCACCACTGAATTCTACGCCACCCATCCTGTGCAAACAAACCCTGTGCATGAGAAATATTAATGGTAAATATGGGTAAATGGTATAAGGGTTCTTTCTACAAGGTTTACATTTTTTTGTATATTTAAAGCTATTTCTAAAAACTGGGCATGGTGGTACACACCTGTCATCCCAGCACGAAGAAGTTTGAGGCAAGCGGATTCTACAAAGTTCAAGGCCAGCCTGGGCTACATAGCAAGACCCTGTCTCAAAAAGCAAACAGGGCCAGGGACTCAGCTCAGCACTTGCCTGGCAAGTATGAGGTCTTGCGTTCCTGGTACCAAAATAAATAAATAAATAAAATGAAATGAAATAAAAACTCAACAGAACAGGAAAAAATTAACATACTCAAAACCGTCCTAACAAAAATATGATACTGAGCCAACTTCAAGATAGGTTGCTATATTGAGAAAATACAGCAACACACTCAAAAATTGTGCTAACAATATATGTAGGACCAACAGTAAGCGAGACTGTAAATAAGCACTGTGCAAGAAACGTGAGAGCTACATACGTAGTGCTAAATTCTCTAGTAGTCATGTTACAGTTAAAAGAAAAACTGGTGACTGTATTAATACATTGCACTTAGCCAAGTGTCTAAAACACTCATTTCAATGTAATCAAAATAAAACTGAAGCTGGGAATAATAGCTCAGCGGCACAAGGGCATGCCTGGTGAGCACAAGGTCCTGAGTTTGATTCCCAATGTACACACACACACATATGTGTATATAAAATTGATATATTTTACAATTTTCACACAATGTTTTCAAAATCTGTTGTGTATTTTATACTTTATAGTACATTAGAATTGGTTTTTTGGTTTTTGTTTTTTTTTTAAAAGACCTCAGTGTGCAGTTCAGCCTGGTAAGTCAAGGTGACCCTCCTGCCTCAATTTCCTGATTACAGGCATGAATCACTTTGCCCAACTACATCTCAATTTAGAAGCTAAATTATAAAAAGGAAATACACGGTTTGCATTTCGATTTCATAAAATGGAACAGCTAAAAACCTTGATTCACAGGCGGGCTGAATAGTATACCCCATAATGCCACCTACTCAGGAGGCCTAGGGAGAAGCTAAGGTCAAGGCTGTCCTCCTGGGCAACCTAACAGGATCTTTTCAAAATACAATTTAGAAACAGGAAGGGGGAGGAAGCTCAGGGCTCCTGGTTCAATCCACAGTACAAAAAAAAAAAAAAAAAAAAAAAAAAAAAAAAAAAAAAATCCACAAAGTAAGTTGCCTCAAAGTTAAAAGCTTTCAAATTGCTCAGTTTTAAAATGAAAAACTTGTGTTAACTAAAATTAAATAAATTCACTCTCAGCCACACTAGCCACTTCCCAAACTCAAATGACATCCACACCTACATCAGAACAGCCCTGCTTTTGAGTGGTAACAAATTCCCTCTACAAAAGGGGGACTCGACTGATTGTCAACAGTTACAACAGAGCACACCCAAGTATTTATTCCAATCCCCCACCCCACCTTTCAGAATATCAACAAAAGGTCAGTGGGGGGGGGGCGGGGGAGATCACTGCAGGCTCAAGGCTAGTCTGAACAATGGTGAAACCCTGTCTCAAAAAACAACTATGACAACTAGCCCCCTCCCCCCTCTCTGAGTTATCATACTCCAACTCAGGGTTGCGCTTCCTTAAAACGGGCACCCTGGCCCTCCCTTGAGATGTGGGAATACAAACTCCGGTTCCGCTCCTGAGAAACCTAATCTTCCACTGTGTACTGGATTGAGGGTTTCAGCACAAACGCTGCCTTCCGATTCCCATATCCGAGCACCAACACACTAGAACTTGTCTTGGATTTAAGAGAGGAAGTGGCCCTTGAGTACAGAGGTAGGTCTTTTTTCTTTTTAAACAGGTGTAAGAGATTAATTTAGTCAACACCAAGCAACACTAAAGATTCGCCAATCAATAATTCTGTGCCAAGCAACATGATCAGGGATTTGGCCAGAATCCCTCTGGCTAATCTCAATAAGGGCCTTCCCAAAGACATCCTGATTTAGGCCATTCTCATCTAAATTAAGGCTTAAGCAATCCTTTGCCTAGCAGCAAATAAACAAAATCAAATTATATACAGTACATGTTAAGAAAATTCTGCCAGCCTGACAAAAGACTACTTGAAAGATTTAACTTAGTGTGAGCAAAAATACAGTTTTCAAAAAATAGAAGCTATCATAAAACATTTAAAATGCGTTTTGCAGAACAGTTAAATTACTACCTTGTTCAGCCAGACTTTTCAAATAGGCAATGTGGGGCTAACAATAAAAGTTAACCCACAACTCATTCTGATAGTTATTTTTCTTTCTCTGTAGGCAGGAGTTAATACATTCTTTAAAACTGATGGATTCTTTATCGTGAATTCGCCTGTCTGAAGTTTCTCATACTCCTGGGAAACAAGGTTAGCGGTGTAAACGATGTTTTCCGACACCTTTACTCACTGGTGAGCTGCATCTCCCCAACAAAACCCTTTTTTCCTCGTTCCCTGCCCACCCTGCACATGTATCTAGCTGCTTTTCTTGCAGCATATTAGCTAGCATCGCAAATACAGCCCAGTCCTAGCCGTAGCGTGGAGACTAAACCTAAAAGTCGTTTATATAAACATTAACTATTTCTACTTAAAACGTGGCTCCTTTCCCCTCGAGTCATAAAGGTTTAAGCAGGAGCAATACGAAGGTTTTTAAAGCGTTCCATCAGAGGTGGCTTATTGGAGTTCTTTTGCCCGTGGAAATATTTACACGATCTGTAGAAATGAACACATCCTAAGTTGCAATTTTTATTACAAAGTTCTCAGGTCATGATTATTTAATCAAAACCTGCCTCACGTCTCTGTGAAATCAGCTCAACACAAAACCAACAGTAGTTTTAAACATAAGGGCACCCGACACAAGACCCAAACACCACCAGAAACACATTCCAGCCCGACAGCTCCAGCACTCTTTCGAGAAGCCTGAGAAAAATGAGTCCCGCATCTCCCTCGGCGGCCGGAGCTGCACACCGCGCCGCAGAGCCCGACTCCGCCGGCCCGCGGCGCGGAGAAATCCCAGGGAACCTCGAGCCTCGTACCCCGGTAAAACATTTCAAGAGTTACCCCCACGCAGTCCTGGTTCCCTTCCCGCCTCGCCGCACCCTGAAAGGGGCCAACACAAACCCCAGACCCGGGACCGGGCAGCGGCTCCGCCTCGCCTGGGCCCGCGCCGCGGCACCGCCCCGCTTCCCGCCGCCCGCCGCGGGCCGGAGCCGCATCCCCACCTGGCCCACAAAGACTGCACGGCAGCCGGGGCTGGGAGCCGAGGCCCCGCCGAGGGTGGGCGCCGGGCGGGCTGCGGGGCTCACGGCAGCTGCGCGCGCTATCCCGGGGGAGGGCGAGGCGGACGGCCGGATCCCCGAGGAGGCGCGAGAGGCCTCGGAGCCGCGCCGCCACCGCCGCCACCGCCGCCACCGCGGCCACCGCGGCCCCCGCGCCAAAAGCCCCGTCGCCTTTCCTGTGGCCTCTGCGGCGCTGCGCCCCGACGACCTCCAGTGCTAAGCACTGCGCCAAGCGGGGCGAGCGGGGGAGGGCGCGCCGGACCCATCGCTGCGCCCCCGGCCCGGCCGACCGCGACCTCGCCGCCCGGCCCCACTCCCAGGCCGCACTCCCCGGAGGATGGAGGGGACGGCGTTAGAGCGCTCCCCGGTCTTCACCTCGATGTAGCCGGCCAGAGCCGTGGCGGGCGCCGTGAGCCCGAGCAGTAGCAGGATCAGGAGCCTGCCCGTGGCCGCGACGACCGCGGTCCCAGTGGCCGCCATCCCTCGCCGCTTCGCTCTAGCGCAGCGCTCTCTGGCTCAGGCACACAGACTCCGGCGCTTCACCCACCGCGACCCAGAAGCATCTGAAACCCGTTCGCCGCCGCCCCGGGGGTTTTACAGCAACCGGAACTGACTTCATAAAACCACGCCCTCCATCCTCAGCGCCCAATGCCGGCTGCAGAACTGCCCTCAAGATACCGCCCCTTATTCAGAAAAAACCAATCAGAGCACAAGAGAGCCAGCTCCTCCCGCCTTCCCAACAGCGCGCACCCGCCCGGCCCCACACGGCCCCGCCTCCGCTTCGAACGGTGCAGCCAAGAGGCGCGAGGCGGCGAGCGAGGTGGAAGGTGGCCGCGCTCGACGGGCTCGGGGACGCGCTCTGGCCTGGCTCTCGGGTGCGGGGTCGAGCCGCACCGCGCGGCTCCGCCCGCCTGCGGTCCCGGTTGCGGACGCTCCCGCTGCTCGCCCCTTCGGGCTATTTTTCAGGTCGCCCTGGGGCCCGCCCTCTCCTTTGGCTCTGGAAATGGTTTTCTGACAAACAAGATGAGCTGTGGGGAGTGCGGGAGGGCGACCGAAGCTCCCGCCCGCCTGCCTCCGGCCCGGCCCAGTCCTAGGCCGTGTCCTCCGCCTGCGCTGGACAGGGCGCCTCGCGCGGTGGAGAGGGTCCTGGTGTCTCTGGCTTCGCGTCGGCGGCCGGGCACCTGCCTCGCCAGAGCCCGCGCTCTGCGCCTCACTGCGCCGTCCCAGGCCTCGCCCTTCGGGAGCCCGCGGTTTCTGTGTCCCTGCTGCAGAGACCTGCGCTCGGGTCGGGGGTGCTGGTTAAATAGACAGTGTCCTGCGCCAGGAGAGGAAAGTAAAGGACAGGCGGAGCCCCCGTGTGCAGCGCGAGCGGCTCGGCCTTGTTCCGCAGACCCGGGCCGGCCATGCCCTTCTCTGCCTGCCTGTCCGGTGGCGTTGTTTCTACTCTTTCTCTCTGCGAGTCTGCAGTGTGGAACCAGAGGGAGCTCCCCAGGCAGGCTCGCGGCAGCGTGTCTTTTTCTATGGAAAATACTGTTTTTCGTTACATATGCACCCGTAGTTTTGGACCACACTGCAGCCAATTCCCCTTCCCGGAGCAGATCTGGAGGCCTCTTTCTCGAGTGTCTCTAGCGGCCCTGTCGCAGCCGCCTTATTTTCACGTCGTCGGGGGAGAGCCAGAAATCACTCCACCTCAGACCCAGCGGCCAGGGGGCCCAGGACGTGCCGTGACATTTTCCACGTCTGTCTCATCTCATGGGCACATCTCACGAGCAGCAGGGCTGGCCCTCTCACACCTTATGAACATGCACCCAAGAAAGTCCAGGAATGCTTTGGAAAGTGGCAAGAACGATAGGATTTTAAGTGCCCTCAAATATTTGGAGTGATTAATGGCAATGTTTCTTTTACTCTTAAGAGTTTTTTAATTGAAACACCGGCGCTCTGGATCAACCCTTATGGATGTCATGCCATCCCCTTTTGAATCTGGAGTGGGATAGTTTCACAGTCTGGCACCTGCCCCCCCTAGTTATTGCATAGCTGTCTCGTGTCACCGATGAGACAGACTTGACTGAATATGCCGTGCCCATCACAGTGGACACCTCCACAACTGTTCATTCAGTGTTACTGATGCCAGGTGTCCTGGGTGCCAGTTCAGGTTCTGGAACTGCTGTCAGTTTGGCTCTGAATTTGGCTCCTCCCCTAAGTTTGTACCTGGATGGCCTAACCCCATGGTGATTTTATTTGGGAACAAGGTGTGCAGGAGGTAATTAGGTTTGGATAAAGGAATGGAGATGGCTGCTCCCCTATCAGGATTAGTGCCCTAGTAAGTGCAAAGACTTAGAGACAAGAACTTGGGAGAGCTGGCCCTCCCTGCTTTCTTTTCTTTTCCTTTCTCTTCTCTTTTCTACAAGTCAGGAAAAGGACTATCACTGAAGAATCAAATTGGTACTTTGATCCTGGGCTTCTCAGTTTTGGGAACTGTGAGATATGAATTCCTGTCATGGTGCTCTATGTAGGGTGCTTTATTTCTAGCACGGGGAGCTATCTGACATAGCTGTGTAACAATACACAAGTTGGGCTGGGGATTTAGCTCAGCGGCAATAAGCGCCTGCCTTGCAAGCAGGCAGTCATGAGTTTGATCCCTGGTACCAAAAAACGAAAAAGACAAAAAACAAAAAACGATGCACAAGTTCCTTCATCCTTAGACTCTCTATCAAGTGTGAAAATCAAGGCCTATCTCATTTCATCAATTTGTCCTCAGTGAATGCACAAGTCAAGCATGGTGGCTGTGCCTGCAGGCCCAGCCCCCTGGAGGAGAATTGCAAGCTCAGACTTTTATCAATTTAGATCTTGTCTCAAAACAAACAACAATGGTAAAAAAACAAAAAAGGTAGGGAGTGTAGCTCAGTGTGAAGGACCTGGGTTCAGTCCCTGTTACCATAATAAGCAAAAATCAAAAATAAATGTACAAAAATGAAAAGCATAAGGGGTCTAAAATATAATGGGTAGGAAAGGATAAAATAGTGTACAGTGTTTCCAAATATAAATTTATACAAAGGCATATATGGAAACAATACCAGGTGACTAGTAAATTCCTGTTCTGTTCTATAACCTTGGGTGAGGTGAGCAAGTTCAAAATCAGGGCTTTGAACTCAGGGATCTCCAAATGTCTATCAACCAGTAAAATTATTTGAGTTCAGAGCAATGGCTTTGGGGAATGCATGTTTCAGAATGACCTCTAATTCAGGGAGGGGAAAAGGAAATACAGGAAAATGATTCAGAGGGATTTCAAGTTAAAATTAGCTAAGTCCTGAGGAAGTTCATTCACATTTGCAGGTCCCTGAAGGGTTATTAATAAAAGTTGTTTGCCCCATTCATCAGTGTTTGGAACTTAAAAATGTCCATCTCTTTTTTCCTGAATGATACGCAGGAGTTTACCTAATCTTTGCAGTTTTCAAATGCTAATTTTTCCTCTCCAATTTGTTCACATCAGTGACCAAGGCTTAAAAGTGCTTTGTTTTCATTTTATTATTTTTTGTGCTTAAAAGTGAAAGGCCCTAAAATACTCAAAACTTTCTCATTTTGTTTTAGGTAGTACAGAGGAGCCAAGCCAGGGTTAGTCCACCACTGAGCTCCAGCCCCACCCCTTTTTATTTTCTATTTTGAGACCATCTCTAGCTAAACTGGCCACACTAGCCTTGAACTTGTGATCCTCCTGCCGCAGCCTCTCAATCACCTAGGATTACAAATATACCCCACCACCCTTGTTCTGCCTTGTAAAGAATCAGACTTTCTCCTAAAAAGTTATCTTTCTTGTCCCTTTGAGATGTGTGCATTTTTCTGTTGTGAAAAAAGTTTTTTGTATTCCTATCTATGTTTTTATCTGAACAGTGTCCTCTCATTTATTTGCCAGGTATTTATTTATCCATGCCTGATGGGGGTGGGAGGCAGGGAGGGAGGCATTGGGCTATAATAGTTGCCCCCAAATCAGGATAATTTAAAATCAACTAAGAATTTTATAAAAAAAAAAAAAAAAAAAAAAAAAAAGCTCAACCTCAAAGTTTCCAAATCTCTAAGGCTTCAGGGAACTAAAGGAACAGTTTATGCAGGCATTTTGAAAGCTCTTTCGGGACTCCCCCTCCAACTAGGACTCTTTCTTTTTTCTGTATGCTGGGTGTGGTACCCAGGGCCTGAAGCAACCAAGATAAGTACTGAGCTACACCTCTTGTTAGTGCTTTTGATGCCTGCAGAAGTTGCTCAATTTTTGTGGACAAGGGAAAAAAATTTAAATCCCACAGCTAATTTAAAATTACCAGGTTTTTTTGCTTTGCTTTATTTCTTTTGGTAAATAAAAGCACTGAATTAAGACACATAATCTGGACACACTGAAGCACACCTAAATTGGGGAGGTCACTCAAATTCAGAAATTCCAGACCAGCCTGACAATATAGCAACATCCCATCTGTTTTTGTTTGTTTGATTTTGAGAAAGAATCTCCTCATGTTGTATAGACTAGCCTTGAACTCACTGTATAACCCAAGTTAGCCTCCATCTTGTGCTGATCCTCCTGCCTCAGCCTCCTGACTGCTGGGATTACAGGCCTGTATCACCATGACCATCATTAAAAGCCCATCTCTTAAAAAAAATTAAAAATTAAGATACTGCTATATTATTACCATGATTTCAATAAAGAAGGAACCCTTGCCAACAAAAAGAAAATCCCATAAGATGTGACTTCCTGATCCTCTCCATATAGACCTTGTTACTCTCTGCAAATCAGGTTGCTGAATATTGTACTTCACCATGCATGGTCCTGGTTTGGCACAGACATCGGAACCATGGCAGTGTAGGAAGTAAAGGTGAATCAGGTCTGTGCTGTGGCCTTTAAATATCTGCTTCCTTCTACCAGTCTCTTCTTCCCGTGCACCCTTGGCTGATTCAGAATTTCAGACTTAGTTAAGCTGTCACACATGCATGGGAATTTTCTCTTCTTCCTTTTCTTCTTGCAGGCTGAGTTCGGACACCTGTTTTGTGGTTCCCAAAACATTCTGTACACACCTCTATCACTCTATTTTTAAACTAAATGTACATTAAGTCATTTATTTATATCACCAGTCCCTGGGTGAGAGGAATCATGTTTTGTTCATTTCTGTAGGTCCTGACCCAGCATAGTACCCTAGTAGTTCTTTTTCTTTTTTTTTTTTTGTCTTTTTCCTTTTTATTGGTACCAGGGATCGAACTCACGACTGCCTGCTTATAAGACAGGCTCTTATGCCGCTGAGCTAAATCCCCAGCCCCCTACCCTAGTAGTTCTTATGGGCACTCACAAAGCATTCACTGCCGGGCTTGGTAGTGCACACCTGTAATCCCAGTAATTGGGAGGCTGAGGCAGGAAGATGGCTATGAGTTCACAGTCAGCCTGAGCTACATGGCAAGACCTTATCTCAAAAAAATAAGAAAAGAAAAGCATTTGCTGGGCTGAGGGGACAGCTCAGTGACAGAGTACAGCTGACAGGAGAAAACTTGTGCACACATAGGTATAGTGCTGGGTGCAAAGTCATACCTGCTTTTGGTGCTTCC